GAGTTTAAGGTTTAGGGAGTATAGGGATCAGGGTTTGGGGCTTTGGGTTCAAGGTTTAGGGAGTTTAGGGTTCAGGGTTTGGGGCTTTGGGTTCAAGGTTTAGGGAGTTTAGGCTTCAGGGTTTGGGGCTTAGAGTTTAAGGTTTATAGGGAGTTTAGGCTTCAGGGTTGTAGTTGCCGTTATAGGAGCCTTATATAACTTATAGAAGCCCCTAAGCTCCCCACCTGTAGTTTCCTTTTAATTTAGGGCTTGGGGAGTTTTAATTTAGGGCTTGGGGAGTTCAGGGTTCAGGGTTCAACCTTTAGCCCTGAACGCTTTAACCGCAAACAGGCAGCTCAGCGCGGGGGCGAAGGCGATGGGCATGGACAATGACTTCTACAAGGCTCCGAGTTTAGGGTTTAGGGCTTAGGGGTTTAGGGGTTTAGGGGTTTAGGGTGTGGGTAGTTCTTTAAATTAGGGGTCCGTTTTAGGCTCCGCTTTATGAGTATTTCGGGAACCTAAAAAGGGGTCTTAGTTTAGAGAACAACCCATGGGTTTCTTAGAGGTTTAGGGTGTTGGGGATGCGCAGGGCTCGGGATGTTGTATTCAGAGATTCGCCGTGACTTGATGGCAGACAACCTTGACTTTGAGTATGCGTTGGGCCGCTCCTAAGAATGATACTGAGTTTTTGTTGTTGGGATTAGGATTCTGCTACGTTCACAAGAGAGATCAAGACCTCATTATCCCCAACCCCAAACCCTACGCCCCAAGTCTCAAGCCCTGAACGCCGCTGAACGCAACAGTTGTGCTCTGATAGAGCACAAACAAATCATGCAGAGCCCTTATTACAGAGCGCGTTTCATGGATACCTTAGCGACTCCTCACATAGTTGAAATCCAACCATATCTTCATCGCACCCAGATTCATAGGAGCATTAAAACCTAAACCCCGCAAAACAAAACAAAACTGAACCCCAAAACCTAAAACCCAAAAACAAAGCCCGAACCCTAATCCTTAATCCTAAACCCTGATAGGACCCTTTCTTTAAAGGGCCTCGAAGATCAGCCCAGGCTTTCTCCTACCGGAAGGCACCGGCACCGGGGCCTTTTTCCCCAATGCCTAGCCTATCGGGTTCCCGTTTAGGGTTGCTTTAGAGTTCCCCTAAGGGTCTCTTAACTTAAGGTTTCTATTTTACCTTAAACCCTGAACCCTAAACCCTAAACCCTTTAAGGGTCTCTTAACTTAAGGTTTCTTTTTTACCTTAAACCATAAACCCCAAGCCCTCTAAGACTCTCTTAACTTAAGGTTTCTAGTTTACCCCAAACCATTTAACCCTAAACCCTCTGAGGGTCGCTTAACTTAAGGTTTCTATTCCACCCTAAACCCTTTAACCCCAAATCCTTTAAGGGTCTCTTAACTTACGGTTTTCTATTCAACCAAAAAAACCAGAAGCCCTAAACTCTTTTAAGGGTCTCTTAACTTAAGGTTTCTATTTTAGGCTTTAGGGCTTAGGGTCTCTTAAGGTTTCTAGTTTGGTAGCAAAAGGGTTTATCTAAGTCAGTTATGAGATAGCAACTACCATTTCCATTGTCTAGCCATGCCCACCACCTAGGCCACCTGAAGACCCAAATCATAACAACCTATACCCCGCCCATGGAACCACCAAAAGACCCACAGGAAGACCTCAAGCCGAAACCCCCATGATGAAAACCATGCTATGCAACCACCCATACCCCGATGGAAAAAGATCATACTCACCCCCATAGCATGCCCCACCCAATAGAAAGCCCATAACACCCATCCGAGAAAATGGAAAGGGTCTTCTTAAATAAAAATTCTATCATAGGAATAAGGTTTGGGGTTTAGGTCATATCGACTAGAACGATACTAACGGTATGGCAACTTCGTCGAGATTCGTGCTACCCTCATAAGCATCTCTCAATTGTTGGTGGTCTCTTAAATGCTCCAAATATCATGTGTCTTGCGCTCGAAACGGTGAATACATTTTTGTGAGGTACTTATCTTAAATCTTTTCATATCACCGGTGTGCTGCTTCCTTTTTTATTGTCTTCTAGAAAACATTTATAATATATTTGTTTTTATCATCGTCATTTATTTTTTAATCCACCTGAAATCTTACTACATGTATGACTGTATCTTAGCGTCTTCAATGTAAGATTTGCTCCGCAGTGTTTGCAATTTACCTTCTTATGTTTCATCCTATCCGCTTTGTGGATGAACTGTTTCTCTTCTTCCTTAACTTCTTCCATTTTGATTTGGTTTGCTTTTACTTTTGTTGCTTTAGCCGTTGGTTCTTCAATTCTTCAATTGCTTCAATCTTGGTCGCTTCTTCATGTATATTATCATTGCCGACTTCATTTTCGATTTCTTCATCAGTCACCATATATACTAGTCTAGATTATTTCTATTATAATTGAATACAATAGCATGTTTATCGGAATGACGAGCGGGATAGTGTTTCCAAGCTTCGTAGAGAATCCCCCACCCCCATTCTGTCCCTGCAGGACACGCTTAAGCCCTAAACCCTAAACCCTAAACCTTAAACCCTAAACCCTAAACCTTAAACCCTAAACCCTAAACCCTAAACCCTAAACCCCCAACCCCCAGTCTGTCCCTAAAGGACACGCTCTGTGTACCATCCTGGCCGGCCCCGCCCTACACCCAATGCCCAACCTTTAAACCTTTTCGGGTTTAGGGTTTAGGGTTTAGACTTAGGTGTAGGGTTTAGGGTTTAGGGTTTAGGGTGTTTAGGGTTTAGGGTTTGGGGCTTAGACTTTGGTTTAGGGTTTAGGGTTTAGGGGTTTTGGGTTTAGACTTTTTGGTTTAGGGTTTAGGGTTTAGGGTTCCTCCGCAAGACTCCCCCCTCCCCCGAATGTCCTGGGAGCATCGAGTACTCCATGTATACAGGGGATGAAGCTTGCACCAGGCCCTTCACAACCCTGACATACGGCTGATGGACAAAATCCTG